TAAGGCGGGAAACCTTAATTGACTAATCATGAAACTGTGCCAGGTTCATGCAAGCTCTGTTGAACAGCAGACTATAATAATAATAATAATAATAATGATGAAACATTTTTACATAAGGCATATTAACACAGAGGCAGAATTACATGTCTCTATGCACTTTAAGAAAAAGAAAAAACAATGCACTGGGTTCATGATTCTGATTATTATGAAGTGGTGACTACATGTATAACTGAAAAGGAATCCAAAATGCATTATAAAATTTGAAAAAGTCTTCTCTTAGTCTTACTTGTATCACTATCAGGGAAATCAAATCATGAAGAAACATTGAAATTCTGATGTGTTTGCAACTCAGCAGTATTCATAAATAACGCCTGGACATTTACACCTAATTTCATGAGGGTGTATTCTTACAAATTAGAGCTCAACTATTTGTGACAGAAGAGCAAACATTCACAGTCTCACAACCTTCAAAATTAGTTTGTCTATATGCTTCCTCAATTTCAATACCAGGAAATGAGTGGTTCTTAAAGTAGTCATCCAAAGAATCAAAAGTGTTTTGATTTGATGCAAAATTCATATCATTGCGAGGGGGAAGCCTAACTAATCAAATATAACAACCTCCCTCTTCAAAATATGTTTGGGGCCCGCATTAATCATCTCTCAATATGTTAATTTTTAGATCCAGATTTTCTGCCGTAAGCGGTCCTCCGTAGAGCATCAAGATTTGTGACGTCACATGTGAGACACAGCTAGCCAAAAAATGTTACACCTTTCCATGATATCTACCAATATGATTTTTCAGCAAATTATTCATGTTTTTCAAGAGAAAATCTTTCCATCCATATATGTAATTGGTCCATGATCATCAGTTGTCATGAATTTGCTTCGGGTGACTACTTTAAGGGAACAACTATTTTCATATTCACAGGGTAACAAAGAAAATATGAAACCGAAACCATGAACATGGATATACTGTAATTGGGGGAATACCAGAGAAGTCCATTAAAAATGGAGTCATCGTCATACTGCTTTCGAATCATTTCTAATTAAAAATGATGCATGAACTTTGTAAATTTTCAAACAGACCTTCACATTTTGCAGACAGTCAATTAAATTTCTAAAAATAAAATGACCACGCAGACTGATGCATAACTGTACTTTTGCCAATTCGCTATAAGTATGGGAATCACGGACAGGTTGTATTAATCTAAATATTATATGAAATGATAATACTCCCCGTGTTATGAAAAATAAATTCCACCGCATTGCACGTACACGATACGTTTACCGTAGGGGACGCTGAGAGTTACCGCGCAAATGCTCATGTTGATAAACGCTCGCGGGGAAGCTCCTGTACAAACAATGGAAGGGACAGATCGTGCATGTTTCTATATAGCGAACTGATAAGAGAAGAAGAGTGTGAAGATTTCAATCTTCATTTCCGAAGGGGAACTTAATTAGGAGGTGGAGAGTAATCGGTTTAGGTGGTGATGGTTTGGACAACCTGATTTTTTGGATGATTGGAAGGATGCCGTCCCCGTTGACAGCTCCCATTATTGATGCATCATCTGCTTTCTGGTGTTAGCTTTATCCAATAATCGGTACACTGTATATGTAGCCAGCATCACATGGAATGAAATGTATTGGGGGAGGGGGAGGGGTGTGTATTCTGTTATCTATGCAATGCAAATTCCATCTTCATGTCTTTCCTTCATCCCCTCTCCGATTATGACGGCCCTATTATTGATGCATCTCAGCTGCATTTTGGTGTTTTGTCACCTTCATAAAATGCTCAAGCAAAACAGGTTGTAGGAATGGCAAGGATGAAATATTTGGGATTACCCCCCCCCCCCTGTAGACTTCTATTATTGACTCATAATGTTTATCAAAAGTGGAACTGATAGGTGTCAATCTTGATGTTCAACTGGCAACCCCGCCCCCCCCCCTCCCCCCCCCCCCAAAAAAAAAAGAATAAATAGTGTAATCTGTTTTCTAATTCATTTCTAACCAGTGTAAAGTACAATTTTTCTATCTTGTAATATTTGCTCAAACTGATAACCGAGTTCTGCAAAACTATTCTGGGCATACAGGTACATGTAGTATCCATATATCTAGCATAAGGTACACATGTATACATGTACATTAGTTTGCATACAGTTACACTTGTTTATTTCTATTTGTCAGTATAAATTTTTGTTGTAAAAATACTTGATTTGAAGAGAACGTATACTCTGTGATTATGATAAGTTAAAGAACTACATGTACATGTGGATATATCCAACAAAAATCCCACAAAATATAAATATTACAATTTACACATGCCTCAAAGACACTGGCCTTCATGCCATGCATATTACTGGTGTTTTGTATTACCCTACTCTAAGGTCACTCTGCAGACTGCACTTTGAAATGTTATGACGTAATGAATGAATGAATACATACTGTAAATGTACAGTACTATACGTTATTAAACCAGTGTATATGGTGAGATCAACCCAGCTGTACTTGTTAGCAATTAACAAGGATTTTCTACTTGCAATCAACAAAAGAACAGCTGACCACAAACCTTTTTCCTCAGTGTCATTTCCCTTCATTCTCCATGCTCTAGATTTTTATAAACATGTATTGTATATGTATGCAAAGTTTTAGTTTTGTTGCAGTCCACCAGGAATAGAGTACCAAAGCTGTGACATCACACAAATCTATTTTTAGAATATCTCAATTTGAACTTCATTTTCTGAAAGAGCTTCAGAAAAAATGTCCAAATGTTGAAAACCAATTGGCTGAGATATGACCATCCGAATAAAAAGAGTTCAATAGGAAGTCACTTTTATTTTGCTCTGGTTCATAACATTACAAACCAGAGCAAAAGGACAGCGATCAGATTTACCATCAAAATCTATTCAGATGGTCATATCTCACCCAATACTTTACATATTCAATTGTTCTTCAAAATTTTGTCAATATTTGTTATGCTCTTTCGGAAAATGAAGTTCAAATTTGGAAACTCTAAAAATATTTTGTTGATACCGTCACACTCGACCACTCTATGCACAACAAAATAAAAATATAGAGCTCTGAAAAAAGGGAATTTAACCCCAATAAAGACCATAGTCTCGAGAAGGTCCAAAGAAGCTTTTGTTAACATTTACTGAATGTCTGTTTAATTATTTCCCTTATTATCATGAGCGGTAATTGTGACTTTGACATTAAGCTGGTGTTTTTCTGGAATTAATTTCAAACAAATAAATGGTAGAAAATAATTCAGACCCAGAATGTTATAATATCAAGAGGTACATGCACAGGTTATTATAATGCAGCCCTATTCCTTTGTTTTTTGTGACTCCATCAACCATCAATGTTTACATGATGGATTTAATTGAACCATGAGTTATCACAGAGATAACATTTACCTTTAACTCCTAGATATATAACAGGTTTATGAAATCAGTCAATCAGACATCTAAAAGATGAACAGGATGCCAATCTACTTCCTTATTGTGACTCCTGTTATCACTGTACATAGATTTACAAAGGATCTAGTGACTTGCATAATACAGGGTACATCTTTTGATGCCTGTTCAGTATTCAGTGGGTAACAATGTCCAAATATGGAACAGCAACAAAGTGGGGCACTGTCAAACATACTCAATCGAAAAAGGCGGCAGCATTGGACAATGGGGAATATGGGTTGAGCTTGTTTATTCTATTTATGAAATGACATAAGTGGATGGGTTTGCTAACTGCCAGGCACAGGTTGGTGCGGATATTGTGCCTACACGTACATTGTATAAAGGCTGTAGAGAGGAGTTGGCCTGGTGAAATATGTAAACAGACTTAGTTAGACAACATCAGACTTTGATCGTTGTCGAGTATCGTGCTGCCTTGTACTGGCACGCAACTACATTGTACAAGTAAATGAACATGCAATGTAAATATGTGTAAAAGACTGTTTAAGAATATTGTGGACACCAATTGTTAACAATGATAACATGTTGTCTCTTCCACAAGTTTGGAGAAGGAAGGGTACATAAAATTGCAATGTATTCATGTTAGTGTACTCTGTATATTGACCACATGAGCCTCCAAGTAACCATTTACCAGTACTACTCATGATGACTTGATGTGCTTTATACTACATCAGGGGTGATAGTGAGAATTTAAAAAGAAAATTGGTTTCAGAAATCCCGGCAAGGGGTTCAAGCAAGTCATGAAAAAATGGCACCTCACCCCCCTAATTTTAAACCGGATTTACAATTTTACATCGATCTCAGGGGAATTTTATGTAAACGTAGTTTATATTGAGAGAAAGCATATTGATGTTCAAAGTTCAAACTATGCAAATGGTCACATAAAAGATATTAACACAGAAATATATCATTATCAGGGGGGGGAATGTTGATTTCACCAATCATGCCTTAAAATTGAAGAAAAAAAAATCTTTTGTTGCTATCCAGCACCAAAAAGAGCAACTCTTGCTCATTTAAAATAGTTTAAATGCATTTTAGATTCTAATTCATTCATCTGGAGATTGTATTCGCTTCAATACTGTACTACCTGTACTTCATCATATATTCTTTTTTGTTGATGTTGAAAGGTTCTTTTACTTAAGTTTATTCATCTGGGAATTTTACTCACTTCAGTGATACTGTATTACTTCATCATATATCTCCTTTTTTAAATGTTTTTTTAAAGGTTCTTTTAGATTTATCCATCTGGAAATTGTACTGCTTCATCATGCATCCTTTTTTTTCTTTTTCTTTTTTCTGAAAAGGTTCTTTTAAATTTATTTATCTGAAGATTGTATTCACTTTGGTGATCGTACTACTTCATTGTATATCTCCTTTTATCCTTCCCTTTTTTTTGGGGGGGGGGGGGGAGGTTCTTTTACCTTTATCTATCTGGAGATTGTACTACTTCATAATGCACCCTATTTTCTCTTCTTCTTGGAAAGGTTCTTTTACCGGTAGATTTATTCAACTGTAGATTATTGTACTCACTTGAGTGATGCTACTAATGGCGCATAGATTGAGTCACCGTCGTATATATAGAGATAATCCCAGCTGCATTCTGTTCCAAACTCTTGGAGGATGAAGCGTATGTTTGCTCCAGGCCTGCACAGAAGAGGGGAGGGAGGGGGGGGGGATGTTAGCAGAGTTAAATATGGACATTAATAACATTTGATGTTAGTGTGGAGCTGTACATACTGTACATCACATACATTGATTGCTACATGAGCATCTGTCTACATCAATAACCCACTTCTTGTAATGGCCAAAATTAAACTTGCGCAGGTCAAAACGTACACCATTCAGTACAAGGGTATGAAATCAGACTACCAGTAATTACTAAAAGGATTGCAATCCCCAAAAGTAGATTTGACAACTAACGGTCGTTATTTTCCCACAAAAAGAAATTTTCAAGCCCTTTTCTTTTGAGGGAAGTTCTAAATTAGCATTATCTTTTGAAATACTGGTGGAATTTTTTTAAATTCATTTTTTGAGTGGGCCTACAAATGGGACATTGTACCTTGAACTAATTATCATTTCATTGTCTATAATTCACCAGCATGTTTCACATCAACCCTACCATTATTTTTACTATCATTTAATTTCAGTTGGTTTCATTCCTGGATCTGTTCCGTTCATATTATAACAACATACCGGTACACTTACCTGCCCCCATCTATGAGCCATGTACATTTTCTTCTATCTTGATAATCATCCAAAGCTTCTATTATGTAGCCTGAACTTTCTTCTAACCTGAAAAAGAAATATGACAAACATCATGAATACATTCCTGTACACTCTAATAATCTAAAACACCAGCATAGTATTTATATGTATGAAATATGTAACATTACTGTGCCAATCTTGAAAAGTTTTTCAAAGACATCATCATAATTGAAGTCAGGGCCGACAACTTTAGGAAACTGCTTGGAGGAGGTGATTTTTTTTTTTTTTTTTTTTACTCAACACCCCCCCCCCCCCCCCCTTGAGCAAAACAAGTTTTACTCAACGCCCCCACCCCCTTGAGCAAAACACATTTACTCATCCCCCCCCCTCCCTAAGTCCTTGAGCAAAAAAAAAATTTGCATACAAAATGGTCCACTGGTCCCTCCCAAATAACTGCTATCGATCGTACCACAATGGAAAAAAAAAACGTGTTGGACATTTCGTTTTTATTTTGGTGCAGGATATTTTCATTTTACATGTTTGGTGGGAGGTTTTTTTCATAAACCAGGAGATTCTACATCATTTGCGGAAGAGCGGAGAAAGGGCGTGGTGGCGGGAGTCTCACATACTCACATAGCATATTATCTGTGAATAAATAGGCTTGGCCAGCTATAATTAGCATGGCAGCCATCTTGGAGAAAAAAATTCAAAAAAAGTCTGGACGAGAAACATGTTTTGTTTGTTATTTGGCCTAATATGTTGCTCATAAATACCATTTACGGCTAAACTGCAAGATAACCAGTGACCCCTAACAGCCCCCCCCCCACCCCAAAAATTAATAAGATTCAAATAAATGTATTATAAAAAAAAAAGACATGTAACTTTTTTTTTAAATTGCGATAACATCACCATAATTTTGAGAAGTAATATTCTTCTTTTCCTTTCAATATGTTGCTTATGCCATTTATGGCTCTACATGTAATAGACTGCAAGATAACCACTGCCTTCTTACACCCCTCCCCCCACCCCCCTGCCAAAAAAAAGAAAATAGTAACAATGATCATAACAATCAAATAAATGTATTATAAAGATACATGTAACTTTAAAAATTTGAACAAGCCGTCATCATGTTCATGTATTAAAGCATTTTTTAATTTTTTTATCCACTTTATTAAATTTACATAAATTGAAGGCCTAAATATTTGTGTATATTACATATTTTCATTGATCAACTAACAATAGCAAGCTGTGAGTAGAATCAGAAGATCCTGTGCATGTAATGTACATTGTAGGTATTGGTGCAGTGGTCAGCTCTTGTCTGCTTACATGACAACCTTGGATTAACTTTATAAGTCACCTAATTTAGAGCTCATGTTAACGGTCAGTCTCCATGTTTCTAATTTATGTATCTGATTATTATATACATGAGAGTGAAAGCTCAATTACACACTGTTTCATGCATTGTACATGTTCATTTGATATCCTGGTAGTCACTGGTATCAGTTACATGTGTATTACATGTAGACTACTAGCAAATATTTGACAAATTAATGTTATCATTTTTAGCATAGCATTCGATTTCATTTTATTTTGACTCGAAGGGTCACTTTTCTGTAGAAGGTCTATAACAATTTTTTTATTTTTATCGAGTAGTGCACCAACGGAAAAGGCACTTTATAGGAGAAAACAGAAATAAATAATATTTTTGTACACGACTATGTCACGATCCACTGACGAAGCTGCCAATTTGAGATTCTAATATTAGTAAAAGATTTGGTGATCTCATATTTTAAAACTTTCATAACTTTCTTACTTTTTGTCCGATAGTCGATACATTTCCAACTTTCACCATTATGATTCTGTTTATATTTGTTTTTCTGCTTTCATACAAGATTACAAATTGACTTATTTCAGGGGATGGATTGCCCTTTAATTTTATTTGGCGACAAAATCTTAAAATTGGTAGATCCTAAATTACATGTCGTTATCATTAAACTGATTGTTCAATGTCAAACAATGTAATTCAGCCTAGGGTCTACAGTTAGATGCAACATAACATGTATGTTTGTATTTATCACTTAATTACAGAGATAGTCTACTCAGTTTAGTAGTGACATCGGCAGCACATCTACAAAATAATGGTTATTGATTGAATATTTATCTAGTCATTGACGTTGTCTTGAGACTTGTTTCGAGTCGATTTTGTCTTTCCTTTTAATTCATTAAATTTTCATATGATAAACAAAAAATCCATATCACATTTGTCATCATATTCATCATGTTCATAGAGTGCAATAATTCCATCCATGGCTGCCATCTCTTTTTCATCACACTGCCAATTCTGTGTTTTTAAAACACTGGTAAATTAATTACCTAGTTCTTCCTTGACAGTGATCACACACATCGCCCGACCACCCGGCAGCACAAACGCACGATCCTCTCTCACAGACGCCGTCTACTCCGCAGTCTCCATCCGACATGCATGATCCGTGTATACGATGCGGTAGTAACGTTAGCACTGTACATAATACCATCACACAAATAGATAAACGTGGTATCCGCGGCGAAGCCACTAGCCTGAATTTGCTCTTCGCATATAGGAAACTGAATACGTCCATGTCCGTCATCTTATTTGTAGTTCTGTCGATTATTCCTTTCTTGATAGGCATATATTATTCCATGGTAGAGCAAGGTATATCACGATTTATTTTAGTCTGATCCTCGATTAACGGAGTGGTACTTCCTACTAGTTTCAGATATTGAAGCTCAATGTTTACTTTAATTATATCATGTAGGTGCGCACGTACGTGCGCGCATCGCGTACGTACGGCCGTACTGACTAGAACAGTTACGTACAGAAGAGATCTTTTCACCAAATTTGTAGTTCTTTACCTCTTTAATTACAGGATTCGAAAATGATAAGATCTCAAATTAAGTATCTTACTTTCGGGTGCCTTTTATAGGGTATTAATTTACTATGGGAGCATTTAAAATCGGGTCACATTTTTGTTTGTGATCCGGATCGTGCCCCGTGCACCCCCCCCCCCCCCAAGCGGTTCACCTCTGTAACACAATTAGACTTATTTGAGCAAAAATTATAAATTATAGCACCTCAGTATTACATCCTGACTTACGTATCCCGCAGAGTAGCCCTGTAGAAGTAGAAAAGTATTCAGTTATTTCATTGGAAAGGCCTACTTTAATAAATAAGAGTGTATAATCATCTGTCATACCATAATTTATGGAAGCCCAGACATATAGGAAATTGGGAATTACAAATAGACAACAAGAGCCAAAGATTTAGAAAGCATTTATTTGACAATTAAGAGTAATCGTCCCGAGTTAATGGATTCCCTCATAGGTATAGACACACATTATTTTGATTTCACTGAAGTTTTGTTTCAACCATGTCAAACTCATTTCTGTAAATTGTTAATTGCATATGCATTAAATTTTTAAATAAAAGTGCTTGAATATTAAAGAAATGTGTATAATTTTAATGGGACTTACCTATAAATTAGCTTGATCCTCTTTTTTAATTCCTTTGACCCAAATATTTAGCCAAGGCATCTTCTTTTTAAATGAAAATCGTATGGTGCTACTCACTCCAGGTAAATAGCTGTATTTCTTCAGAATGAACATGTCAAACATGCACTTTCCGACAAAGGAAGTTCATTTATTTCTTCATTATAGGCCTATATCTATTCTTGTTTTATTCATCGAGATTGGAGACGGTGCATACAGCATAACAATCCGCCATATCTGATTTAAAAAAACGACCGCAAAAACTTTTTAAACATTAAGTGACCTACTGACTCTCTTAATTTCTAGGACTTGAATTTTAAATCAATTTTTAGACTTAAAATATTTCAAGTCTTTAAGACTTAATCAATCGGGCTTTGTTAAAAAGTTTTATCAGAACCAGCTTCTGAGAGACTTAAACTTCTCACCAATCAGATGGCCCGTAGATGACGTCACGCAGTGCAAGATAAAATTTCAACGAATCAGATCCCACGAGCGCGCGTTGGTTGCGTTTATCTATAGATATTCTCTCGTATTCCCTTTTAGTTTTAGTCTCTCAATAACAGGATCGGTTTGTTTTTATTAAATCACCGTATTACGTAATCCGAACATGAGTTCTATGCATGGAATCATCTTAGGCCTATATTGTTCTCGAATTAATGTCTAAGAGTCTTCAGTCGTACTACAATACCAATTTTTAAATATTTTCTCCCCCCCCCCCTTATAATGATCAACACGAAAGAACGAAAAGTCAGTTAAAGAATTAAGGAGATTCATAAGAAAATTAGATTTTAGGTTTCTTTATTAAAGATTCATGTGTAAAAAGAAATTAGACAGATCTGGTGATTATTTTCAAATAGGTTTAAAGGATGGTTGAGTCAAATGAATCGTTCACTAAAAAACTTGAGGATTTTTATTTGTCATGATATTATATATTTTGTGTTGTAACGATTCAAGCTCTATATTTGCTTATGTTTCATCACCTTTGTGTGTTCATTCTTCAAACTGTATAGTTGCAACTTGTCTTTGATAAAACATTGTTATATTCTTTTTCACGTGAAGTCAATTCAAATGGATTGTAAAATTGAAATGATTTGTTATATTATATTCATTTTTCATGTGATGTTAACTTCAATGAATTGTGAAATTGTGAACATGCATAAATAAATGAATAAACAAATAAACAAATATAAGTTTAACAAGAGTGACGGAGAACAAGATGAAAAGGGAGAGAGCGAGAGAGAGAAGGGGGAAGATAGATAGAAGGAGAGAGAAGAGAGGAGACAGGCAGACAGACAGAGACAGACCATTGGGGAATAGTGAAGAGGATAATAATATTATGGAAGACTGGGAGCAGGGGCGTCGCCAAAGGGGGGGGGGTGTGGGGGTGCGACACCCCCCCCCCCCCACCTGTCAGGATATTGTCGGTAAAATTGCGTTGCCGTCGGGAAAAAGAGAAAAGGGGGAGGGAAAAAAAGAGAGGGAAAAAAAGAGAGTGAAAAAAAGAGAGGGGAAGGGAAAGAAAAGAAAAAAAGAAAAGGAAAAGAAAAGAAAGAAAGGAAAGAAAGGAAAGAAAGGAAAAGAAAGGAAAGAAAAGAGAAGAAAGAAAGAGAAAAAAGAAAAAGGAGTGAAAGGGAAACAAAAGAAACGGGGGATGAAAGAGAGGAGAGAGAGGGGAGGTAAGAGTCTGAGAGAGGAGGAGTGGGAGTAAAAGAGAAAAGGGGGTTGTTGGGTGGAGTCGTCTCGTCGAGGGAGCAAGAAAGACACGGGTAAATATGTTGCTGTGTCGGGTCAGCTGTGTCGGTATTCTTGCTCGATCCTCATCAATGCATAAGTTTGAAGTCGGTGAGATGTATATTGTCGGTCGGCCGACAAAATTTTTTCCCTACGAACTGCGACTTCTCATCCGCTGTGACGACTTCGATAGTGACTACCATTACAATACTTGTATTTTCTCGAAGTTTCCCTTTCCTATAATATCAGCTAAAGAAATCAGAGGTTTAAAATTTTCGGGGAAACTAAATTCAAACAAGGTTTAAGAGTCAACAACGGTACGACGAATCATTTTCCTTTCTTTATATTGTGATGAAACGCCAAAAATTCCGCGCTTCGCGCGGAAGGGGAAACTTCATTTAGACGAATCGAGGACGGTACAACGAATCGTCTTCTTTCTCTAATAATTTAAGGAAACGTCAAAGCTTCCGCGCTTCGCGCGAAAGTGGGAAACTGAATTCAGACAAATAGGGCTTACTAAAAGTCGAAAACGTTACAACGAATCGTGTTCTTTCTCTAATAATTTGAGGAAACGTCAAAGCTTTCGCGCTTCGTTTAAACTTCATTTAGACGAATCGAGGACGGTACAACGAATCGTCTTCTTTCTCTAATAATCTAAGGAAACGTCAAAGCTTCCGCGCTTCGCGCGAAAGTGGGAAACTGAATCCAGACAAATAGGGCTTACTAAAAGTCGCAAACGTTACAACGAATCGTCTTTTGCTCTAATAATTTAAGGAAACGTCAAAGATTCCGCGCTTCGCGCGAGAGGGGTAAACTGAATTCAGACAAAATTAATAGGGCTCATTTAGAGTCGAAAACGGTACAACGAATCGTGTTCTTTCTCTAATAATTTGAGGAAAAATCAAAGCTTTCGCGCTTCGCGCGAGATGGGTAAACTGAATTCAGATGAATAGGGCTTAATAAGATTCGAAAACGGTACGACGAATCGTCTTCTGCTCTAATAATTTAAGGAAACGTCAAAGCTTCCGCGCTTCGCGCGAGAGGGGAAACTGAATTCAGACAAAATTATTAGGGCTTATTTAGAGTCGAAAACGGTACAACGAATCGTGTTCTTTCTCTAATAATTTAAGGAAACGTCAGAGCTTCCGCGCTTCGCGCGAGAGGGGGAAACTGAATTCAGACAAAATTAATAGGGTTTATTATAAGTCGAAAACGTAAAAGCTTTCGCGCTTCGCGCGAGAGGGGGAAACTGAATTCAGATGAATAGGGCTATTTAAGAGTCAAAAACGATACGACGAATCGTCTTCTTGCTTTAATAATTTAATGAAACCAAAACTTCCGCTCTTCGCGCGGGAGGGGGAAGCTTCATTCAGATTAGGATAAAGAGTCGAGAATAGTACTCCGAATCGTCTGCTTTTTCTCATAATGTAAGGAAACTGAATTCAGACAAAATTAATATGGCTTATTTAAAGTCGAAAACGTAAAAGCTTTCGCGCTTCGCGCGAGAGGGGGAAACTGAATTCAGATGAATAGGGCTATTTAAGAGTCGAAAACGATACGACGAATCGTCTTCTTGCTCTAATAATTTAATAAAACCAAAACTTCCGCGCTTCGCGCGGGAGGGGGAAGCTTCATTCAGATTAGGATAAAGAGTCGAGAATAGTACTCCGAATCGTCTGCTTTTTCTCATAATGTAAGGAAACTGAATTCAGACAAAATTAATAGGGCTTATTTAAAGTCGAAAACGGTACGACGAATCGTGTTCTAGCTTTCTCTAATGATATGAGGAAACGTCAAAGCTTTCGCGCTTCGCGCGAGAGGGGGGAAACTGAATTCAGATGAATAGGGCTTACTAAGAGTCGAAAACGGTACGACGAATCGTCTTCTTTCTCTAATAATTTAATGAAACGTCAAAACTTCCGCGCTTCGCGCGGGAGGGGGAAGCTTCATTCAGATTAGGATTAAGAGTCGAGAACAGTACACCGAATCGTCTGCTTTTTCTCATAATTTAATGAAACGTCAAAGCTTCCGCGCTTTGCGCGGGGGGAATACTGAATTCAGAAAAGGATAAACAGTCGAGAATGGTACAGCAAATCGTCTTCTTTTTTATAATAATTTAATGAAACGTCAAAGCTTTCGCGCTTCGCGCGGGAGGGGGGGGGGAAACTTCATTCAGCCTAGGATTACCAGTCGAAAACGGTACAATAATATTAATCGTCTTCTTTTCCTAATAATTTAAGGAAACGTCTAAGCTTCCGCGCTTCGCGCGGGAGGCTCATCACCCACACCCCTTTATGAGCGCGCTTTTAAGTGATTCACTTGCTCACTATTATACCGCCCCTCCCTAAAAATAAGATCCTAGCTCCGCGCCTGCATTAAAATATATAGCTATGATGCTGACTAAATTTAAGAAATAATTCGTATATTAATGTCGTCGAGGAAAATGACCATTTTGCGCATAATTATGCAAGTACTATAGATAGTCCATAGGAAAAACAATTTAGCCTTCGGCC